AGTTCAACGAGCGAAATATTATTCAAACCAACGGGGAAAAAAAAGAAAAAGTATCCACGAACAGGTGTCGGTTCACGCACGCACAGATAGATCTGCATCCTTCCCCCGTTGAAAATAGAAACATCGGGGTTAATCAGAGGTCGGTTAAGTATAATCTACGCTTCCTGGAGGGGGGGAGATGCAATTGAATTCGCGGCGGAGGGCATTTTTCAAACGAGGAGGACCGAGGTGGAAGGGTGAATTTCGCCTGCGAGTGGGCGGCATTCCTTCCGTCGGGAAGGAAGGGGAGGGGGCTCTGTAACCCGCCCACCTGGCTTTCGGCCTCATCTCAATAACATTAGCCCGGCCGTTTAAGCTTTAAGCCGCAACCGACTCGCGTTTTATTCGAAACCGAGCAATTTGTTCACCCGCGTTGAATGGGAAACCACCCATCTCTCGCTGGATAAGGAATAATGTATAATAGAATTTGTTCAATTTTGTTGAATTGAATCAACTACATTGATACAAATATTGGAATAGAAACTTTCGATTTATCGCGTGATTTTGCAGAGAGAAGATTCAGAGAGAAGATTCGACAAGCCAACGGGATCCGTCGATCGTCGCGCGGCGACGGCGGCGGCGGCAAGCGAGGAGCGACGGGAAGCGAGCCGATTCTTTTATGGCCGGCCACAGATCGAGAGATTCGAAAGGGCGGTGAGCCACGAATGCGAATCGTCGGCCGGCCGTATGGAAAAGGAATCGAGCGGCGATCGAGATGATTCGTTATTCGAGGCACGGAGCCCGGACGTTCCTTCCTTCTCAGGCATTCCACGATATACGCCTTTGCCTGACGCCAGTCGAAGACAGCGCCTCTTGCAGGCACCGTGGTGCGTCCAAACATCTTGGCGGAAATTGCGCCAACGACGCAACTTTCGAGCAGCACCGAGGGATGGATCCCTCTTCCGTTGGTGGACGAGGGAATTTGGTGAAGTTTGGATCATCTCGAGGGAGAAGTGGAAGAAGAAAAGATCGTGGAGGATCGTCGTGGCAGGTACACGCTTCGAACGTTTATTTTATATATATCCAAGGAATAGTTGTGTGTGAGCATTTAATTTGAGCATAAATTTCTAGTTTCTCTTTTTCGAATAGAAGCGTTATACAATTTGTGAATTTCTTCAATTTTTGAATCTTTTCAAAATTAATTCTCAGCGTCAATGTTGCTTTAAGCAAACATTTTACATTGCAATCTCCTTTCTCGAAGATTCTAAGGAGAAAGATCGAATTTCCCGTTTTCGAAAAATCGAAATTATTAAATCCTTTATTAAATTTCTCTCAAGAGAGATGTTAAGTACACGCGAAATATCGTGTATTTTTCCTCCCCAAATCTTTGTGTCATCACGGGAGAAAGAATCTCATTTTCCATCTTGGCTTCGCGCGAACAATGTATTCCTCCCGTATTTCTCGGCCACGTCGAAATTGCGCTGTATGCTGATGAGCTGGCGTGAATTAATCAATAAATATGTAGTCGGTGCCGTTAACCACGGGGTCGCTCGTAAACGGAGGCTGGCCTCCCATGTTTTCACTCGCGTCCTCGTTCTACATATTTTTCTTGCCCGTAAACCGATCGTAATTCCCCCCCCCCTCCCCCCGTCCCCCGTTAACGTACAACGCATCCACCACCATCATCCTCCAATCCGTCTGTTACCACGGCAGGGAAACATGGCGGAGAAAAATTCACTTCGCGTTTAATCGGACACGCGCCTTTCGACCAAATTTAATTTTCTGTGATCAATCGTACGTAATCGCAATTTCGTAGTTGTGTGTGTGTATTAATTTTAATTTCGTTCCCATGTTTCTCGTTCTCAGTGTTTAATACCGTCAAAATTTCTCCTTAATATATATAACTATTATACATCTAAATGTGTAACGACAATTATTCCCTTCCTAAAGAATAATCCTTGAAAAAATATATATATATATATATATCACTTCTCCTCCAACACAATTTTAACAACACCTAGAAATATATAACAATTAGTATTCCCTTTCTAAAGAATAATTCTTTAAAAGATATATATATATATATTTTTTCCAATCAATTTAATAACAACTAGAAATATATAACAATTATTATTCCCTTTCTAAAGTATAATTCTTTAAAAAGAAAAAAGTATATACGTATCATATCACGTTTCAGAAAACAGTTCTCTTCCGTCGCGAGAGCAACTCCCCTCCTCTCTCCGAGTTAAAAAGAATGCGTGTTCGAAGTTTCCGGTGGTCGAGGAGGAAAGTGGCCAGGAAGAAAGTAAGATGGAGGGAGGCGGAGAAGAAGCAGGCTCGTCACGAAGCGAGCGGCGCATAGATACGTGGGCAAACTCGGGGAAGACGTATTGCACGTGAGTAGAGGACGACACGGCAGAATGTTGGATGAGTGACGCGCGATGCGATGAAGTTAACGTGGCGGCCGATTATCGAGTTAAGTCTCCACTCTGCGGTTCCCGGCGTCGAATATTTGCGACAATCGGCAATCCTTCCTACGTCGTGTTCCACGACGATCCGTTCCACGTGTGTTCGTGCGTGTATATATACATATACGTGTGTGTGCGCGCGCGTGTGTGTGTGTGTATACGAGTATCGGTCACGCATACACCTCGCGCGAATTTTTATTCTCGTCACCGAGTGATGATGGAAAAGCAGTACAGGGTGATTTATGGAAGGTGGCCGGTGTTAATTACAAGGTTAATAGAGATCATACGATAAAAGAGTTTAAGTTCGTGATGGATATCGATTGCTGGAAATTGCTTCAACCGAGTTTAACATCTCTCCTTCCTGTTTATTATTTTTCCTTTTTCCCTTTTTTTTTTTTGTTTTTGAGTAGACTGATTTATCGTCGTTACGACCCAACGGGCTGTCAAAAATTTTTCCAAGGAAATATAGATAAGAATATTTCGAAAGTTAATACAAATCTATTAATATTTCAATTCTTACTATTCTCTGTTTGGAAAATTGGAAACGGCGTTACGAGCAAATATTCCAACCAATTTTTACGATCACTTCCGAGTCCATTCTCGAAAAATTTTAGAAAATATCGATTCGGGTCAAAATACTTTTAAAGTTATCCATCGAATACGAATCGACGATTGACACTCCACTCGTGGACACTTCGATCCCTAAAATCATCGCGAATAAAAATCCTCTTCCACGCGCTCTCCATTCTCCTTTATAATCCCAGAGTACAAAAATTCGCAGAACCAGAACACCCTCCTTCCTCCTCCCCCCTCTCCAAGTTTTCCGCGCGCGCTCCACGCGGCTCTCGACGACGTGACCGTTTCCTCTATTCCTCCTCCTCCTCCTCCTCCTCCTCCTCCTCGGTCCCCAATTCTTTTCTTCACCGTTATCGGCAAGGATCTCTCCGTCCGATGGAGAGAGTCGAGCCGAGTGTTCTTCTCGCCACCCCCCTCTTCCTCCTCCTCTTCCACTTGCGCCCACAAAGTAGACACGTTTTCTCTCCATTCTTCGTTTTCCCTCCGCGGAGCCGGTGTGTCAGCCGCTCAAGCTTTCGAGGAGAGGAGAGGAGCGGCGATCAATACGTCGCTCCAGAAGCGAAGGAGAAGGAACACAACGCGGGGCACGGCCACCGTTGTCGGGAGACTTTGAGGGGAGAGGAGGAGGAGGAGGAGGAGGAGGAAGAGTGGGTTGGTCGGTGGGAGAGTGGGAAAGCGGAGGTTTTCCAGGAGCGATTCTCCTCGAGGAGAGGAGAGGGAGGGAGGGAGAGGGGCACGGGCCTGGCTTCGAGCAGATATGAGCGCGAAAAGATGATGAGACGAAGGGTGGCCCCTGCCTTTTACCCCCTCCCACTCCGCTCATCCGGTTGACAGGGATTCGAGGAGGCCGAGGCTGCACGATTTCGGCCGAGGCTGAACGACTTCAGGGCTGTACCTTTACGTGCGCTTTCTGCAAATAATTGTGGATTATTTCCACTGTGACGTCTCGTTTTTCTTTTTCTTCTTGTCTTCCTACTTTTTGCGCGATTTTGAAAAATTTTGGAAATTAGGAATCAGGAATAAATGTGGAAGGAGTAAGGAGAGGTGTGGTACAATTGTTTCTTTTCTTTTTTTTTTTTTGTCATCTTTTTAAAATTTCGCAGGAGGAAATTAGTAGGAGGAGGGATAGGGTTAATATGGTGGACACACAAGGAAGAGAAAATTCGTATTATTAATGGAAATGGATCTGGTGAGTGGAGGAGGAAAAAGATATATCAGAAAAATATTCGATCGTTCGGCAATGTAATGTCGATGTAAACGATGAAATTGTTCGGGGCCTTCTTTCTCTGAATAACAGAGCCGCGTATAAACTTCCTTCACCCTCACGCTGCGTACATAATGCATGAATTTCCACGCGAGAATTTCATAAGAGAAATTCCTTACACCCAATCACTAATACACCGAGTGTTACACGATTCGTACACGGATGGTATGGATGACTCGCGTCGTGTTTAACGCGATCTATTTAATCTTTTTTGATCCTTGATATTCGACGTATAAACGTCTTTTGGTAATTTCACGAATAAAATAGATACGATAAAACGAGGTATCCATACCGCGAGATATCAGAGAATCGAAAAAAAAAAAAAAAACAATAAAAAACATTCAATAATAATATCAAGTACAAATCGTCGTATCCTTCGAGGCAAAAACGAAGAAAAGAAAAAAAAAAAAAAAAACAAAATTTATGTTCTCTTTCAAATTTTCCTTCCAACAAAAAAATACCAAATATTATCCATCACGTTTCGAGCCTCATTTGTCCCTTTTACTCTCAACAATCAACCCATCAACCCCCCTCCTCCCCTCCTCCAAACCAATTACTCCCCTCCCCCCATCCACCGGAGATTCAACCGCATATTTCCAACCACTCCACCCATCCATCCACGGTGGATCCTTCTTCCACTCTTACTTACCGCCTCCACGTCGGTAACATCCGCGTCACGAGCGATGGAAAGAGAGAGAAAGAGAGAGAGAAAAAGAAAGAAGAAAAAAAGGAAAGAAACGAAGGAAGAAAAAAAGAGAAAGAAACGAGTTGGCGCGCGTCGAATAATGCGATATCAATACTCATCTCGCGGAGCGGATGGGTGGCGTAGGGCGCCCGAGTCCGGTGCTACGCCGCTGTGCGGTGGCATCCCCCTGGCCTTGGGTGGGGGGAGGGTGCGCGCGGTCCAATCATCGCAGAATCCGGGGGATGCCCGTGGGTTCGGCCGGGCAGCCGTGGGAGAGACGCCCCGCGACTCGAGGATTCGCGGTTGTCGCCGAATGCCTTCTCCGCTCGAGGGGTCGCGAAAAGGACGGTCGGTCGGCCAGCGTTCCGTCTCGAAGGGCGTTGGCCCGAATTTTCCGCGCGCGCTACCTCGAACGCGGTTTCCACGCGCCGCGCGCGAAACGCAATCGTGCTCGAGGATGGAATCGTGGCGAGGACGTGCACGCGCACGCATCATCGGGGCCCTGGATGCGTGCGATGGGCAATCATGGTGTGAGTCAGGCATCGATTCCTTTCTTCCCTTTTTCTTCTTTCTTTTTTTTTTCTCCCCGTTTTTTTTTTCGCTTCGAATTTCACGGATGGAAATTGTGCGAGCTTTGGGCTTCTGGATGTGTGTGTGTGTGTGTGTGCGTGCGTGCGTGTGCGTATGGATGTGTTGTTCGGATGTTGTCCACGGGGGGACATAGATGGCACTGTGGTGGATATATTATTGTAGTTCGTGCACGATTCTTTTTGTCCACCAACCGTTTCGACGAACTGTGCGTTGTGGAATCTCTCTGATCGAATTTACGAATACGGATGTCTCGTGCGGTTTCGTTCGCGTTGCNTGTC